TGGATGTAATGAGCAAATGGTGTAAGCGTGCTAATGAAAATATATGTATATTACGGAAACGGTTAGAAAGAGATGATGTAATTATATAAATTGAATGTAAAGAATTCATAACACTGGAATTTGACCTTAAGGGATTTATAACAAGACTTCAATGACACCCAGAATCGAGACATTATAAGAAAGAAACCCTACTGTCACTAGGAATCTATGTGACCTAATAGACCACCGTCTATGCCCCATTAATTATCCTAACTTTTGCCTCATTAGTGGCTTTACCCTTCTATTACCTCTTTTTAATCAAAATTGAATTCAGAACAGTAGTTAAGCATGTCGACAAGGCTCCCGTACTTAACTACATTGAACTACCTTGAGACCACTTTTGGCGCAAAACAAGCCACAGATTAATCAATTCTTCTCATGCTCTAAACCAGTGAAATGAAGTTCTTCAAATTCAAAGTTTATATAAGTATGGATAAAGTGTGGAAGAAATGAGGATGAAGAACTGAATGATATTTCATTAATTACTACTAAAGCTGGAAAGACTAGAACTACAAAGCTGTAATTGAAAACAGTAATCTAATCTAAGAAAACGGTAAAGACTTGGCCAAGGGAGGAGAGGAATCCCTACTCCCTTGGCCATTCATGTGAAGAACTCCCTTACAGGGTTGGAGCTCTTGGAGATAGGAAGACGACTTGACTGCAGTAAGTAATTGCTAAATGTACTCCAAAATCGAAGTTTTTCTACATAGAGATATCTGGCTCTATTTATAGAAGGTGAATTGGGACGGTTGCAAGCAGTTGTTTGGCGGTTCCAACCGCTGGGCAGTTAGGCAGTTGTTGGTAGTTATTCTGTTGAAGTAGTTGTTGGTCATAACTCTCTGGGTACCCGCTTCGCTTGCATTGAATTGTAAAGGCTCATATCTTCCTCATTTGCCGGAGAGCTAGAGGGCATCAGCGCAGCTAGGCTCGCTTGTGCTGGCTGGAAATGAAATGGCTAAACCGCTGCAGTTGGAATACTTAGTCGAAATATGGTGACATTCTGCAACGGTGGGTGTCTGGGCTGTCGCTTGCAAGCGGGAGGGGCTATCGCTTGTGAGCGGTGGAAGCTACCGCTTGCCTCTCGTGCCTTAGTCTTTTTCAGTAGATATTATGGGCGCTTGCGAGCGGAGGAGGCTATCGCTTATGGCGCATGCCTTAGCTTTTCTGGCATCGGACTACCGCTTAAAAAGGGCAAAAAATCGTTAATAATCTCAACAACGAAATCTGGATCATGCCAAGCGATATAGATCAATAATGTATGCCATTCACGAGTTATTATGATGGTTTTTATACAGAAATTCGAGTAATACACATTTTCGTCAAGCTAAGAATATGCTCATATTTGGAGTCATCAGCTACTGAAACAATCAGTGGGATCATTTGTTTATTTATTCAAGGGTGGATGAGAATGTCACGTAGATAGGTTTAACATAACATATGATGTTATGGATTATGGTAAGACATATTGATAAGTTATTGGATAATTAATGAGATACGTTTTGGTCTCCACACTGTTTATTGACTTTGTCTATGTTAACATTTTATGGGCTAGAAAAAACATCATAACGAACAAATATATTAAAAGGTATGAGAAGTAATTATCATACATGAGACATATTAAAACTATTCTTACTATAAGTAAGCATGTCATTAAAGTGTACATCGAATATGTCCATCGGTGCTTTCAGGACAGTATGGTGAGTACACATCTTTTTACTATATGTCAAATATGTATATAATTATTTATAAAGTCTATTCTTGAATAAGAGTACATGCAATTGTGTCAGAAGTATGTCAGTTAGTCAAATGAGGAACACATATCTTCATTAGGAGTATATTGTTCAAATTTAGTAGCTTCTCTGTACTCAACCATGAAATTTTGTGCACCAAGATATATTTTTTATTTTTTTGTGTGCATACCTCTAATTCAAACGATTATACTTATAGAGAATCACACATGTCATATGTGAAATTAGAAATTATGATAATTCTTAATATTTTTTGCAAAATATAACATCAATGACTAACTACTCCAATTTGAAAATCATATTATTCAAACCTCAATTGCTCCCAATTTATACATAAAATTTAACATACAAATATGAAAAAATGATACTAGACAACCCTTCCAAGGTCTCCTAATAAAATCTTTACAATAAATTTTGTTCAACATATTTTGACATCATCGAATTCGGTAGCTCGTCTGCTAGGCGGATAACACGACAGACATTATATATCATTTGTTGTAACTAAAAGTATTTGGATGCATTAACGCACAATAGTAAAACAAACAAAATTGAAATCAACAAAATAGATACATGAACAACAAAAAAAGTGAAAGAGATATCAACAAATACCTTCGAACTTAAAAAAGTCATTCCACATGAGAAATCGGTTGTGGTCACAACTTATGCCAAGGTAGTTTATTTTCGGAAAATTTAGAAAATATTCAAACAATGTGAGTTGTAGATCTTTCAGTTGTTTATCGTTCATCTCAACTTTAAGTTTAGCAATCTTTGTATAAATGAAATGTATAAAAACTCTTGAGGTAATCCATTTGTATTCTTTTTTGAGTTTGTCATCATTTCAAAACAAAAACATGTCTTCATGAGTATACCAAAAAGAAGTACAATTTTATGGCATAACTATGAAGGTAAGTAATCTTTTATTTTAGGCATATAGATTAACAATCAAGGCACACCAAAAACAATGGGAGACATTCGCAAATAATATAAAGAACAAATAAAAATTTTCATTACTTGGTAAAATAGATACATCTATAACCAACATCATGACAGAGGACATCGTCCAACACCTTAATACTTAAAAAATCACCCGACTGAGGCATAAGACAAAGAGATCGGAGCATATCACAAATTTAAAAAAATATACAAAATTAAAATATTGGTTTTAGCAAAAAAAAAAAAAAAAACTTTACTTACTTCTTGGAACTCTATTTTGGAGAGAAAATATTTTTGATATTTTCGAGTAGGCAGTGTATTTTTGTTTTATTTTCTCTTTTCATCTTTGATGCGAATAAGTTCCAGTGCAACGGTGTCTATGATAATTGAGGTGACGTTCAATGGAAACGGGTGAAAGTGGAGGGAAATGATTTTTTAAGAAACAAAGTAATTGGGATCATGAGATTGTTGGTATTCTTTGTTTTTTTAATTTTTTTATTGTATTATTTTTGTAACCGATTGAAGTACATAAATAAAAAAAACTCAAGTACATTACATTGAAATAATATTTGTACAGCGAAATAATTTTAAAGTATGTATATAGAGAACGTAAATTTATAATAAAATCAACCGGAGTATATATAAATTGGTTACACTGACTCCTTATTTCAGGGGCAAATTGGATAGTAGGGACTGCAGTGTAAGTATTATACAAAAGTAGGAGTGTAGTGTCTTCTATTAATCCGAAGGGATTGAACTTAAATATTTATTAGTTGAGACCGATTTAAATAAAGTCACCCTTTTTTATAATTTAATTTAATTATTTACCAAATTTATTATTTTATGTTGTAAAAATCTAATAAATATTATTTATATGATTTTTACATAAATAATAAATAAATAAAATCAAAATTAAAATTAATTCTTTGTGAATAAAATTTAAATTTTAAAAATTAAATTAAAGAAAAAGATATTAAAAATGAATATATATATATATATAAACACATATATAAACCGACAGTTCAAATCGAAACAGTCAATTCAAAAATCGTAAATTAAACTGTTAAATCATAATCAAAACCGTCAAAGTATAACTAAAACCTTCATTCGAATGGTTTCATTTAATCTTTTTACAAATCGAAATCGGTAGTTTGAACCAATTGAGCAAAGTCTAAATACATCCACTCTTAAAATTATTATACATTAAATATTAATATGATAACATATAATGATAATGATGATAGTCTGTAAATTTATTTTTTTTTAAATTTGCACAAATAAATATTTCATCCAACTTTTTGAATAATATCTTTTATTAAAGATACTATATTTAAGGTAATAATATTTAATTAGTTAATAATAATAAGTTATAATATTATTTTTTTTATGTAATAAATATTGTTAATAATTTTTAAAAATATATATAATCAAAAGAAATTTAGAATATATATTTAAATATTTTAAAATTTATATCTTAATAAAATATAATAATGTATGCAATATGAATATCATTTATAGATAATAAAGTTTTAAATAATACTATATATTTATGATTAATATAAATTAATTTTATAAAATATGAAAGTTTTAAATATAGATAAAAATATTTGTACATAGAAAGAGATAAATATTTTGAGTGATATGTTATTTGTTATAAAGTTAATTAAGTTGATGTATATTTGTTAAATATATTTTAATAGTAATTTGATATGATATTTTGTATTTGTATTTGATTGGGACTGGTAAAGAGATATACAAAATACAAGGTTTTATTTTAATAGTATTTTGACATAATATTTTATAGAAAAATAGTGTATTTTTAATAATAATCCTATTGAATAAATAATATTAATTTTAATTTAAAATAACACCCAAACACCATATTAACAATTAAACTGATCAGTAAATAAATAAAAAAATATTTATTTGACAATATATATATATTGATTTCACTAATTTTATCTTTCTCAACTTTGACTTAATACTTTTAGAGATAATTTCTACTACGAGGAGTACTGCTGATTTCGGTGGTCAGACTTAAAGTTTACGTGACTACAAATTCCCTATACTTTTAAAACTGCTGATTTCGGTGGTAGACTTAAAGCTTACGTAACTACGATATTGGAAGATTTGGTATGATTTCGTAAAACCACAAATAATTTTATACAATTTAATATATATATACATATATATATAAAAAGAGAGAGAGAGATATATGTGATGGGTTATGGGAAGAAAACTCTTTTAACTATACAAGGTGAAAATGCAGACAAAGAATGATAACCAAAAAAACCCCAAAACATCAAACACAAGCACAAACCACACTAATGTCAATCACACCTTAGCTTGTAGATTCTACCATGTATCTATATATTTATATATATGTACATTACATCACAACACTACTCCGGCTGCTGAAGATAATCCAACAGCGCGAACTTCACATGCAGCCCAATCCTCCCCCCTTCCGTCACTAGCTTTGCCGCCGTTACCAGCCAGTGTCCCGGGCTGTCATACGGCCCGCGCGCAACCTCACTAGCATCCACGTATTTCAGCAGCTTTGTCGACCGAACAGGGACAGGCGGCCCGTCCGGGTAAACACCCGAGTTCAACGTCGCCGGGAGCTGCTGCTGTTGCTTTGATGCGTCGGCCACGGCTCGTTGCGTGAACGAGAATGTTGTGCTCAGATTCGTGAGGAAGCTCGACTTGCGGGAGGAGTCGGGTGCGGCAGCCCATTCGGTCTTTCGAATGGTGCAGTTCGGAATGTGGGCGAAGAGCAGCCGGAGGTGAAGGACTTTTCTCGGCCATTTGCCCTTCACAATGAGCTGTGCGCCGGTCACAACGAAAACGCCGTTGGAGTTTTCTCCTTGCAGCAGCCAGCTCGGGTCGTGCTTGACTAGAGATGCGCATACTTTTGCATATCCCTTCCATCTCACTGCTTCCAAGAACTGGTTGGAGGATTCGTAGTCATCGGAGCCTCGCCACTGTGGTTTGTGTGTGGTTTGATTTCCGGAGGTGAAGGACATAATGCTCGGCAGACTTGATAGATGCTGCACGTGAATTGCCAACCGGTTGCTCTTCTTCCCTTCCAAATACAAACGGAGACCAATCACGGGTTTTTGATCGCTTGTGACCTGAAATGGTTGCAGATGAGAAATGTAAATCGTGGTGGCTAGTCGTAAAACAAGGCATAATCTTGCCAAATTGAATCGTGAATGCAGTTGAAAATGTAAAAAAGTTTACACAAATTTGACATTCTGACAATGGAATTCCGATACAATAAATGAGGTAAAATGGCAAACTCAATTAAACAAGAAAGAACTTTCTAACAACAACCACAGCCGCAAAGACAAACCAAAACTAAACAATGTAGCACTCAACTGTTCACAAACACATGCATATGCCTAGCAACAAATATACTATCATTCCAAAGTAGTTTTGCCTCTTCACATATATATACACACACAATATTTAAATTTTTATCATCACCCCTACTCCCAATCACATTCGGAAGTCTTCTTGAACATACATTTCATATGTAGTTATTTATTGAAGCAAACTAATAATTATCTTATAATACACATACAGCATATACACATGTATATATATATCTACTCCCTCTGTCCAGAATGTTTACACCACTTTCATTGGATACGGAGACCAAAAAAAAATACTACCTCCGTCCCATATAAAGAGTATCATTTGTCTTTTGCGTTATTGTATTTAACATTAAAAATATCCGTATATTTGTATAATTTACTCCACAAATATCATTGTATTTGTATTACGTATTGATATAATAATTAATATTAAAAATTAACACACAAAAAATCCATAGTACTTTCTTATGGGATGGAGGTAGTATTATTTTAATATAAAAGTGAAAGTAGTTAAAAAGTAAAGTTAGGTATTATGAAAATTTTATTAAAAAATCAATTAAAAAGTAGTGGGTAAGTAGAAAAAATAGTGGCAAATTAATTATTATTTGTTAAAGTAGAGTTAATAAAATTGTGAGTGAATAAAATATTTTTTTACTATAAGTGGATTGTGCATAAGTTTAACGGGCAATTAATTATCCCGGATGAAAAGAGTATATATTATGCGAGTATGTGTGTATCTATATTCTCACACCAAATTACATATCTTAAACAGAAAACTAACATAGAATTCGCTTCCAGCATAAATCAAATTTCTACAATCAAATCACTAGTTCATATAAGAGGTAACACTTAAATCAGGAGCAAGATAAAGTTCTTTGTGTGTTCTCATGACTCAAGAATATAAGAGCAGAGATTACCCCATTTAAGATATATAATGCGTACCTGAGATGAACTAACATACATCTTCGGACCTAGGAAGCTAAACTGCAAAGAAGGGAAAGATGTCTTCTTCCTTTGATGCCTTAGGGGCAGCTCACAGAATAAAGGAGCCCAATGGCTTGGAACTTGAAATTCCAAAAAATACGGCAAGTCCTCCAAAGTGGGTTTGTCTGGGTAGAAAAGCATTTTAGTCAAATCTATCAAAAATTGAAGGGGGGAAAAATAATAATAACACCTTTAATCATAGATTTCATAGACAGAGGTATGAGATTCAGGTTAGAGTGTTTGAACGGGACATACATCTTAGGTACAAATTAATGGCATGACTAAGATAGCCACTTCCCGGAATTCCATTCAGTAGAGATGTTATTGGCACAAATTTGAAGAGAACAGCTTCTGGATTGGCCGCCATCGTCTGGAGCCATCTGGAGTGACTTTGTGCAAACACATCACCTCCTCTTTTTGACCAAATAAGTGTAAGTCCCTGGACATTAAATGTATAAAGTGAATATCATATTCACATTTAGAAAACTTTGCAAAACAAGATAAGGAAACTTACATCCTTGCTTGATGTTTCGGTGATGCTGGTAAACTGCATTGTATGTGCCTGTAGCATACGATTAAATACCTCTGGAACCTGCACCCATCAACAATTTTTATTAGTTATAGTGTTAAAAGCTCAAATTAAACATTCTAAAATAACAAAGAGCATCACAAGATATTGTTCGAACTTTATATATTCACCTTCTTTTTGTTATCTTTTGCCATTCTCTCCAATATAGGACTATTAGCATCAGAAAATAGGCAATCTCCAAGTTCCTCCAAATATCCCTTCAGTTCGGCTGGAGGAATTGGAGAAGATGGCCTCTGTTTAACACACAGCAAATCTTGTCCTCCAACTGCCATTCCCACAATTATATGTGTTCCATAGGTCTGGATAAATCTGTTTGAATAGCAAGCTTAAATAAACAAGCAGATGACGAACACAATTTTTTCTTGAGGATATGCTTTTGAGAAGGCAAGTTTTAACCAAAAGTTGCATTGATTAAATGACATGTTGCAATGGATTTAAAGCTAATAAAAATAAGTTGAAAAACCTTTTTCGTGCTTAAATATGATTTATATATAATGATAGACCTTCCTGTAAACTTCAAAATCTAGACATGGTAGGTATTCAATTATTCATATGCCAAGATTTGCTTAAAATCTCATTGTAAGTGCAGGGGTTTGTTAGAGAAATCAACGTATAGTAGAAATAAAAAAAGGATACAACTACCTATGAATGATAAACTTTTTTAGGTATAAGGGTCAACATGCATACACACATACACACACGTACATATAATATAAACTACAAGGTGGCATCATTATGTCCTCGTGAGTTATAAAGTTTCTTTCAAGTTAAGGTGACATTCTACCAAAGGTCATCAATTCCAATTCAGGGGCAATGTTTTAGTTACTCTCAGGATTCCCACCATGCAACCTATGAGATGTAAGTTATTCTAGAAGCGTATTGCTAATACAGTAAGTTTCAAGCCCCCTAGTCGCAATACAACTATTTCTTCAAAGCAAATAGTGCGAAATTGACAACCGAGAGCATATACAGATCTACAAAATTTATAAGTTCTGGATGTACGCAGTTCATTACTTAACCATCATCTAGTTCATTATTTAAGAAATGAAAGTGAAATAAAACAATAATAAAAATAAAAATATCAATTACAAACACTTCCCTTATATATATATTTGCAGAGTTCCTAAATTTCCAGTGTCACAATCATGCTTTCTATAAATGATTAGTAATTAAATTTTGGATAATGAACTCTGACTGTAGAATGCCACAATTAAAGAAGAAAGTCAAATATGCATTTACCTGGACAGTGCAGCCGGATCCCAATGGCGTGGAACTGAACTTTTAACATGGTCATGCAGTACTAATGGTGATGCAGTTAGGTGTAAATAGTACAAAGAGATGAAATAGCCATCAAATGCTAAGTACTTCGCGTCAGCAGCATCGTTTAACCAGGCTCCACTAAGATCAAAAATGGCATTAAGATAGCCTGAAGGAACTTTTCCCTGAATTGATGATTTCTGATTCAGTAGCTCTGACATCTGCCATATATCATTTTCTTAGCAACAAATAATGCATAAAGCTTATACATACTAGATGAAATAAGGAAGTCGACATTCTAGTGATGTTTTTCATTCTTCTTTATCAGATTTCAAAGGCAGTAGGGTGTTAAAATGATGCTGTTTTTAATTTCGTTTTATTCCTTTAATGTCTCATTCCCCTTTAACTGACTACATTAGTCTTGTCGAACATTCAAAAGCTAAGATAACTCAACACAAAAGAATCCACTAGTATCTCATGTTTAGTGATTGACCTTTGCCGTTTCTAACCACCAGTAAAGTCACAATGATCTTAAGATAAAGCATAACGCCATGCAGCCGTGGCAATGGTCCAATCTTGAAGGTGAAGCACGCACGCACACACACACACACGAATAAAAATCCACCAGAATAATTCAAGCACTAAAGAAATTTTCGCAAAAAGATGTCATTTAATCATATGATATAATTACATCAAATTAGAAGTTTTGAAAATCATATGCTCCCAATTTAGCAGAGTATTAAAATTTCAAGATCCCAATTCAAACCACCATTTAATTCATGCTGCTTCGCATTAGGCTCAAGCACAACATGGTGAAGCATCCGCATATGAACAGGCTGCTTCACATTACGCTGCAAAATGGTACAGCAGCAGCTTGGATTATGTTTCTACAAGAGCATGGTAATACTGAGAAATAAACTCCCAATTCAAAGTATTTATGAGTTTATTATGTTGGTTGCATTATGCTGCATCGCTATTAATGCCAAAAATCAACTACCAAAAGTGCACCCTTAACATCGGCATGCTTGCACCATATCTCATGCTTTTACTTAACACTTGAGTTAGCGCCAAGCAAACATGAAGAAGACAAGGAACACAAAAGGCCAAAACAACCAAAGAGGCATACTAGTTAACATCTACGTAAATGAAACCAACTCCAACAAAAAAAAACTACACAGTAACACTCCACACTCTCAGGCTTCTACGCAAAATTCGACATTTCACATCGCCACATTCAATTCATGCTCCGAAAATCAAAAAAAACTACACAGTAACACTCCACACTCCCAGGCTTCTACACAAAATTCGACATTTCACATCGCCACATTCAATTCATGCTCCGAAAATTTTAGATTATACTTGAAAATGGTTCAATTTTTCTGCACAAGGTATAGTTCCATCTCACCAATAAGGCTCTGCATCTTCAATCACCTAACTCCATCGACAACAATTGTTTACAAGCTTCAAATTTCAAAGTACCAACACAGACTGAGAAGAACACTTTAGACTACTTAAAGCACAGCTAGATCCAAATAAATTACCAGCAGATATTTCAGAGGTACCAAATTATGCTGCCCCAAATAGATCAAAGGAACAAAAAGCTACATCTACCTCTTCAAAAATTCCAATTTTGTGAAAACCGACAGCTAATTCATAAACATCGCGCGTGAATTGGAGTGCATCGGAGAAAAATAAACTAAAATACCCATATACCTGATTGAATTGGAGTACATCGGACTTGAACCTAATGTGATCCCCCTTATCGACGCGAATCGATTCCGGCACACCTGGTACAGTGGCGCCTCCGGGGAGCACGACGTCCCGCTTGCGCTGCTCGTCGAAGTGCACCAGCCTGCAGCCATGGGGGCATCTCTTGACGAACTTGAGCCGGAAATCGCTGGCGAGGTCAAAGCCTTGGCCGAGGGCTTCGGTGGCCCGCACCTCAATCGGCTTCTTCTCCGGGTCCTGCAAGGACTCGAACATGGCCGGCGAAGTTAGAAAGAGGAGAAGCACGTGCCGATCGAACGCTGATGGGATGGGGTTTGGTTGGTGATGGGCAAGACTGGAATTCGATCGAATTGAACGATTAGAAAACAACAAATAGGGGAAGCGAAAGAGGGGTTAGTTAGAGAGAGGGGAAAGGGCAGCGAAAGGTGGGCTCTGAACGTTGACCGGAGTTGTCGTGTCGTGTCGTCCGCCGCCACGCACCGCCCGCCTTCTTCCTTGGGTCTGGGCTGGTGCCTGCTATCCTACGCCACCTTCCAGGTGCATTAATCGTTGAAAATTACTGCTACTAATAAGTCTCAAGTGCTGATTGCTGAACTGAAAGTGATTGATGCGAATAGGAATAGGGTTTTTACTTTACCTGTTCGTCGTCTAATGAAGTCCGCGTTTTGCTTACACTTGCACTAACACCTCATGCTTTGTTCCATTAAAGAAATCGGTAATGTAGGTAAGCTTTTAGCCCCGAATGGATCAACCAACCCCCTTCAACATCAAAAGAAAAACCAATAGCACTAAAAAAACAGAAGAGGACTAGTAGTGATTTCTGAGTTTTGTAACTCAATCAAGTGGAAACAAGATAGGCAACATCTTTACTAGCATTTGTTTCCATTATGAACATGATGAAGATAGAAAATTTTTAAAATAAAGGATTGAATTTAAAAAATTTTAAAAGTATAATAATAAATAAATTAAATTAAATTGTGTTTCGTTGGAGTTTTTCCAAATATTTTAGAGTCTTCTTTATTTACTTCTATCTTAAATTTAGTTTTTATATTATTAAAATAATGATTTTGACTTTTTTTTATTTGAATCAATTTTAAGTTTTAAATTTTTAAATAATAATTTTGATTTATTATCAATTAATATAATTCAGATTTATATTTTAATTATTATTTATTTCAAGAAAAATTAATTGATATATTAATTTTTATTTTTTTAATAACGTGGGAATCCGTAATCGCTACCATTAATATACTAGTTCAGTCATATGAATTATTATACAAGTAGATTATTCTTAAAAATTATTTAATAAATTATTCTTTAATAGTATCTATTAATAAAAGATGCATATGTCATTATATTTAATATCATACTCTTATCCACACAAGAAAAATAGAAAAAAATTATGTCAATAATTTAATTAAAATAAATAAATAACTAGCAATTATGTTGTTTTAAATTAATGATTTTTAAATTGAATATTTAAATTTATTTTGAAAAAGTTTGCATATAATAATATACTTGCGTAAAGATATTTGAAAAACAATATAATAATAAAAATTAATGTAAATAATGAATGAGGATAATACTCTCCGATGGAAATCATACGTTACCTTCTAAAAAAAACTTATAATTTTTGAGAATGAGTTTTAATTTTTATATTTTTAGCTGATACAGGTAGTAATAATTATATTTATTAATTTTTATTGAAAAACAATGTTTAAGAATTAAAATTAAACTAATTTAATGAATAAGATACCAAAATTATTATTTTAAAAATAAAGGGACTAAAATTGACATATTAGTAAACAAAATGGACCAAAAATGCATTTTACCTATATTTTTTATTATTTGTTCTTTAAAAAAATATATTAAACTAAGTTTTTTTATTATATGAAAATTTAATTTATATTTAAATATATCATTAATATTTATTTATATCATATTCTTTTGTTCTAACTAATTATATCACAATATCCTGACACAAAGATTAAAAAATAATACTCCCTCCATCAGTTAGAAAGTATACATATTTCTATTTTGGGATGTCCAATTACAAGGTAAATATTTCATTAAATACCTCACTTTTTTCCACAAATATTTTTACTTTACGTCACATCACTACTTTTATATCAAAAAACAAGGACAAAAATATCATTTTACTACTTTTAACTACCCACTATAATTAAAATACTATTATTTCTTAAACACCGCACCAAAAGTAAATGTTTACTTTGTGTGTGGACGGAAAGAATATATTTTAATATAAAAATAAAATATATAAAAAGTAAAATGAATTATTATAAAACATCTATTAAAAAATTAAAAATAAATTAATGAAATAGAAAAAATAGTGTCATATTAATTATTATTCCATCCGTCCCAACTAATTTGTCTGTTTTAGCAGGGCATAACATTTTATGATATAATAATTATAAATTACGATTAAAATGACTAAATAGTTTAATTAAAATAAATAAATTATAAATTTTAAAAAATGATTAAAGTGTATAATTATATTTCTAAAAATAAAATGATAAATGTGAGATAAATCGAAACAGAGAATTGACAAATTATAACAGTAACCGTAATTTTTAAAGTATGAATGAAAAAAATGATAAGTGAATGGAATTACTTACTACAAAAAATTTGAAAATTTCTAACTTTTTATTTACTAAATTATAGTAAAAATTAATTAAATATTTAAAATATTATATTAACCTCTATTCATATCAATTAAATAATTATTAAATTTAAAATTTAAATATAAAATTCAAGCTCACCAAACACTCCTACGACTACTTGTCTTAGTCAACACAAGAGTTCAATTATGATTGTCCACGTGTATGACCTTCACAACAATTATTCATTGTATATAAAAAAAAAGGGCCTTTTAATTTATCTAAATATATATATATACTACTATTTTTATTTTTTTTACATATTTATCATAAATATTAATTATTATATAATAATATAATATAAATTTAAAAAAATAGTAAAAATATTTTTATTAGTGTCTTATAATATTATTATAGTGACATTTTGTGCAAAAAATTATATAAATATAAAAATATTTTTAATGTTAAGTACAATAACACAAAAAGTAAATAATTCTTAGAATAGGAACGAGTGAGTATAATAAAAGTGTGCATTGGACTATAGGTAGCCGGAATTATTGATAAAAATTGAAGTTGCAGTTGTAGCCTATCTCTAACTATTTCAAAAATATATTTTATATATTTTTTTCTGGTGATTTTTCAGATCAAATACTTAAAAAATACGATAATTAATTATTTTTTTATATTATCGATATTTTTTCATATTTAATATAAAAATACTTTAAACTAAAAAAATATATAATACAATGGTCAAATAAAGTTAAATTATTAATTTATTTAAAATATTATTAGTAATATAATTAAATATAAATAAAATTAATTATTATAAATAAATATATGTATTTATAGTAGTATGTTTAAATAAAATATTATATTTTATAAAACTAATAAAATATAATTTAAATATAAATATATATACATTTAATATTAAAAAAAGAAAAAAAATATATGATTTTTTTTTTTGGATGGAATGGTATAATGATAAAATATGAAATATGGGATTTTAAAGTAACGAAGGTACAGTGTTATAAAAAAAAAAAAAAAAATTACTATATTTACAGAATTTTAAAATCTCGTATATTTTAAATTTCATCATCTTTTGCAACCAAACATTGATTAATTAGAATTTTAAAATCCAAATGTTATAGAATCCCACCAAATTTATGAACCAGACAACCTTAAATAATGAAAACATCGAACAAAATTATAAAAAGTACTGCAATTGTTGTGTTTATAGACTGATGTGTGCTTTTTTTAGACGCATCTCTGCTATCAATTTTCTTTCACAGACACAGAATTAATTACTCTATTAAAAGTGTATAGTAAAATTACGAAATTAACTTTATTTACTATTGACTATTAGATATTAAATTTTAAAAAATCTAATGGTATTGATGTTTTAGATATGAGCACCTGATCGAGTAGTATTTTTTATATTCCCTCCGTCCCATAACTAAATATTCATTTGCTTTTTGCACGTAGTTTTAGAAATATTAGTATTATATTTGGATGATGTATGAATAAAGTAAAAATGACTAAAATAACCTTATTAGTACGTGTGATATAAAGGTAATAACATTTGTGTAATATATTGTAAGTTGTAAAGGTATTTGTAATGTTAAGTAGATAGTACAGTTACTAAAAAAGAAATACATACTTGACTAAATAAAAAAATAAATACTTTGTTACGGAAGGGAGGGAGTATTATCAATATAATTCTACATTTTTAATACAAAAAATACACCAATCCAAAAATATAAAATCAACAGGTCCAATTAACATATCAAACTAAAATATTAAACAAACAAGTAAAAAAATTTCACTATTATTTCCACATCTAATTATTGAAATACTATATATATATATTAATAATATTAACTGCCATATATTTACAAAATGTAACCATATTATTCTAGTTTCTATAAATACTGGTAATAAAAATCTTTAAACTTTTTTCAAATGTTCTATATTTATGACCATGCCACAATAATTTCCTAAAATTTTGGTAATTAAATTATTTATTTGGACAATTTTCACCATTACTTTTATTTTCTCTAAAATTTATTTTAATATTTGGAATTATTACAAGTATTTAAAATTTTAATGCCACTTTAATTTTTTAAAAATAAATCAATAAATAATTTGGAATATTCCTGTTCATTTCACCAAAGTTTAGAGGTAAAGCTAGTTATATATTGTTGACAAAATTTATCAAAACAAATTTGCCATTTTATAATTTTAAACAAAATTAAAATACTATTAAAATATATTATTTTCTCTTACAAAAATATCATATTAAAATACTATTTAAACAAAAATTCAAATCACACTTTATTTTAAATCAATTACAAACACAACCAAACAAATATGATCTACTATTTTTGTTTTAATTTTTGTTAAAAAAGAAAATAGTATTTGGATTATAATTGAAAACAATGTATTCATCCAAACAAATAGTAAAAAAATATCTAATAAAAAATCAAATAAAACTCTAAATAAACAAAATATTAGCTCTGTTTAGTTGCAATTTGACATTAATTTAAAATTAATGATTTAAATTTTTGTTTCAACAGTATTTTAATATAATATTTTTATAAAAAATAATATATTTTTATTTAGAATTAAAAAATAAATAATATTAATTTCAATTTAATATAATAATTAAAATAGACTTTAAAATGGAGATAATATGATAAGGTCTTTAGTGGTCAAAGTGAATATATTCTTATTTGGACTTTTAAATAAATATTGTTTTATGCCTTTAGATACTAAACTTAGCTTTTGAATTTGTGTTTCTTAAAAAAATATTCTTTCCGTTTCGGTGCAAAGTTGTCGTTTACTTTTTACACGTAGATTTTAAAATATTAATATCATAATGGGTTGTAGTGAAAAAGACGAAAATATCTCTATTAGTATTGTATAATGTAAAAGAAATGAAATATAGTGTAAGTTGAAAGGATATTTATTATATTAGGTACTTAGTACAACCACTAAATTAGAAAATGATAACCTTGTTTTGAGACGAACGAAAATAGAAAATAGTAATCTTTAAATGGAACGGGAGAATATAATTTATTTTTTTTTCATAAAATATTTTATTGTTTATTATTATTATATCAAACTCAAATCAAAATTTTGACAAATTCATAAAAGAAATATGCCCTTAATAAATCAATAATTTAAAGGCGAATGAAAAATAAAAAATTATAAAATTCTATTCTGATAATTAAATTATAAAATTCTATTTTGATAATTAAATTATATTTACAAAGCATAATATTATTAAGTAAATAATAATACTGTTGAAAGGGAAAGTGAGGAATATATAAAACGTGAGGGAGAGACAGAGACACAGACACAGACAGAACAAACCCTTCAACGTGAGTCTCGGCGCAGACGACGGTCAAAACGAATCGCCGATCAAGCCCGGGAGGGGATATGGCTGAGCCGCCGACGGAAGGGGGAGGAGTCTCCCTCGACGATCTCAAGGAGAGGATGGCCAATTTTGCAAAGGAAAGGGACTGGGATAAATTTCATACGCCGCGAAATGTGCTTCTCGCCATGGTATGTTTTTCTTCCGCCCTGTCTTTTCACCGTCGCTGTTAATAATTATAAATTTCTTCCTGTGTTCTACTTTTTACCTTTGGTTGTTCGATCGGTTTCTGAGTTGGTGTGGATTAATTTGGAGTTGTTCTTCATTTAATTTTAGGTTAAGTGTGATTTGTGAAATTACTTGTTGGTGTTCTTCTTTGTTGACGAAAATTAGGAGATGAACAGATCAAAATTAGTTTGAAAGTGCAATTCTGCAGGGAAATCATGTTTATTATTAGTCTCTGTCATAGCATTCATTCGAATCTTTTCTTTCTCACTCAAACTAAAAAGTGATAGCGACTGAGTACTGTATGTAGTGTCCATTCCAAGTCCATTAAAATTCTGAGACAGGGTCTAACTACTTGTATTTCTTTCAAGTTTGGATTGAATTAAATTTTTCATGTTTTTTACTAAAAAGATATTTGATGTAATATTTAATAAGAATTAAAATGTACATTTAGAAAAATAAAAAAATAAAAAAATTCAAAGTCCAAATAGAAAAAATTATGTAGAAACAAACCATGTTCCGGATAGAAAGAAGGTTTTGTGATTTTGGAATTTTGGAAAAAAATTAAAAGTAATACTCCCTCCGTCCCAAAAGAGTTGTTTTGTTTTTCCATTTTCGTTACATTCTACTTTATACCCACTTTCAATTAAATACTATTATTTTTTAATTTCCGTACCAACTTCCAACAAGAAGACTCTTCTTGGAAGGAGAGAATAAAATATTAGGCTCCTTTTAGATAATAGAGTTTCGGAGTTACTAAAATTTGATAACGGTAAAAAGTTTATTTGGTAAGATATTTTGTCAGAGAAAAGTATTTGATTGATATTTTTAAAAAGTAAATAGTATTAAAATTTTAAAATATATTAACAAAGTCTTACTATTTGATGTGATATTTTGTGAAATAAAAAAATATACTTCCTTTGTCTTTTAAAACAATGTTCGATAGTTTTGTACATAAAAATTAAGAAAGCTAATATTTTAGTATTATTTATATACTTTTTGTAAGGGTAGAACTGTAGTGTTTGTTTACTTTTTGTAAGGTTAGAATTGTAGTTTTACAAGTATTAATGTAAAATTTGAATTAAAGTATAATATACCTAAGAAATATGTAGGATTCATTAGTGATATGTTTAAATTGATGTAAAAATAGTGGGTATAGATTTAAAAAAAAAAAAAAAAAAATTGTACTTTTTTAATAAATATACCATGAACACATGTTTGGTGCTAAAATAATAAAATGGACATATTTTTATAAAATTGACAAAGACTTTCATATGATAACTTTTAAAAAAGTTATTAGAAATAAATAATGCTAAAAGTTCTAAAGTGCATGTGTAAACATAGGGTATGTTCATTTAGAGTGTGTTTGTTTGAGGATTGTATTTTGAGATGGGATTTGAATAGTAAAAATTTTGAATTTGAATAGTTGTACGATGTGACATAAATAAATAGGTGTTTGATGTGATGTTTTGAATGTAAAATTAATTTTTAGTATAATATAAAAAATGAAAAATAAGTGTTTGATTTGATATTTTTTTAGAGAAAAAATGATATGAATAGTGTATTTTTGGGAGAATCCCTCAAACAAACTATTTTCCATAAATATTATTTAAAAAATACAATAAACACATTAACACAATATACTATATTATATATATATATATATTTTATCCACTCATAAAAAAAGTCAATAATTCAACATAAAATATTAATTTTTATATTACCGATACAATTTTTCATACTTAACATAAAACCATCTTTTAAAAGATACATAGTGAACAAACTCATAGTTTAACTCGTACTATGGATTTATTTTGTACCAGTTTCGGACCGCTACATTGCATTCTTTAATTTTATTTTTTTTTAATTGAAAATTAAAGAAGAATTAATTATATAGTATATGTGTACCCCTAATATTCTGTCAACAAGTTTGCCTATAGTATACCTAATTAAACCCTTGTAGATTAAATGTGTGACACATTTAGGGTTAGGTCCCGAGTTCCATCCTGGATGGTGCATGTGTGTTTGAATTGGAGGAAATCTCCCGCGGATATGTGTGTATTTTATATTTTGATATTCTAAAAATAAAAAAAAAAATAAATCATTATCATCAAAGATCAAACCTACTATAGTATGCAGCTAGAGCCAACTTTATAGTAGTTTGGTTGTAATTTGAAATTATCCCGTATAATTTTTATTAAAAACAAATAATTTTTTCTTATAAAATATCATATCAAATTGAAATAAAATAAAGATTAATGGTGAATTTGGTTGCGCGCACACAGGTGGGAGAAGTTGGAGAATTGTGCGACATATTTCAGTGGAAAGGCGAGGTCCCGAAAGGGCTGCCGGGTTGGGAAGAAGAGGAGAAAGTGCACTTGGGCGAGGAGCTCTCGGATGTCCTGCTTTATCTTGTAAGGCTGTCGGATGTATGCGGCGTGGATCTCAACCGAGCTGCTCTGCGCAAGCTGGAGTGCAATGCAGCCAAGTACCCGGTCCATCTCTGCAAGGGCTCGTCGGAAAAGTATCGCGAGATCCATAACGGTAACAGATCTAAGCTCAGCAATGAAGATAGTGGTAGCAATGGTTGATTCATTATGGATGAAGAATGATCATATCAGGTAATAATAAAAATTTGTTGTTTACTTTCACTCTGTTGGTTTGCTGTTTTGTGACTTGTGATATTTAAGAATGGAATAATAATAATAATAATAATAATAATAATAATATTTTTTTGAATGAAATTATGATATATTTGGAGTGTGATTTTGGAATTAGTTTGGAGATTGTCTGAAATGAGAAGAATGAAATATTGCTTGAAATATTGCTTGAATGAGTTTCTGATGTTTCTACAATTCTTTTTCGATGATTTCCGATATATATATATATATTATATTTTCACAAAAATCAATATTTAATATAAAATATTATTTTTTATATTACCGAGCCATTTTCCTGCACCTCACATCAAAATAGAATTTCAAAACAAAACGGTAAACAAACAAACTTTACATTTTAAGTTTTTTAATTTATAATTTTTTAATTTTAATTAGACTAAATTATTTGAATATTAATCTATAATTATTTATATTATAAGATAATTATTTTTATTAATATATTTTTTATTATTTAATAATTATACTTATCATAAATAAATTTTCGTGTCTATAGTAACCTGATAATCCGAACAGTAATAGGGAAAATAAAAAAAATAATAATAAATTAATTATTATTTGTTAAAATAATAATAAAAAAAACATAAACACACAATTGTGAATTGATATAAGTTTAACCCATGAAAAAAAAAAAAAAAATGGCTTAAGAGTTCTTTCACTCGATTAAAAATAATTTCAAATAAGATTTTCAACATATATAATATTTATGACCCAATTGGATATTGGCTGAAGGCCCCGAGGATGAGAACCCGATGAAAGAGGAGGATCGAAAGATGGAAGTTTAGTTGGAATAATTACTCCTTAAATTTTAAGAAGTGGGTTTGTTTATGATTTTTAGGGATATAAATAGGGTAAAAATATACATTGTACTCACTTGCATGAATGATCTAAACAAGACTGTATTCTTTTCTTTTCTTTTCTTTGTAGTTTATCTTGAGTTTAATACTCCCTCCGTCCCAAACAAGGTGCAACATTTACTTTTGGCACGAGTTTTTAGGTGGGTAGTACTAAGTAGAATAATTTAGAAATTAGGTGATGTGATGGAGAAAGAAATATATATTTTATTTTTTTATTTGGATGATGTGAGAGGATAAAGTGGGGGCAGAGATTAAATATAATTAATTATTTCTTATTTTGGAAATATTACCGGGTGCTTGAAACATACAAAAAGGAAATGTTGCAGAGTATTTGAGACGAAGGGAGTAATTTTTATTCAGTTATGTCTTAATTTATTTTTGCCTCTTTTCAATTACAATTTTATGTTTATGTAAGCATTATTTATGTCTCTCATAGATATTATTTAAAACTCATCAAATTAGCGGTTAAGGCTTAAAACCATGCAAAGGTTCGATCAATATAGCCGTCCCAACTACAAGATTTAATCCTGAGTACCTTTCAAAAGGCTCAACCCTTATATCTACTCAAATACAAATAAACCACCCTACAAATGAAAATGAACCACATACAAAACCTTCAAGACACACAGGGATAGCTTGGTGGTATAGATGTTGGACATAAGCTCAGATTAAATATCTAGATCCAACGTTTTAGATTTAATTTCACTAGTTTATGGATTCGGCCTAAACTGTGGGTAGCAAATGTATGTGGGCCAACACATAATATTGTGATTTTAGATTAAACTCTCAATTATAAAATATTATTGGCCCAAATAATAATAATAATAATATGATAGTGATTAATAAAAAATAACAATGATAATTTTTTTTTTACAAAATATCATATAAAAAAATATTTAAATCAAAATTCACATTCACAATTATCTAATAAAGGCATTGAAAATAGTAATAATCTGCATGCTAGACCTTTCTTAGAGATGGATTTGACAAGTAGTTGTGACTTCATTTTTAGAAACGTAAATTGAAAGGTTAATCTTTTTTTTTAATTTTTTCTATTGAAAGAAAAAAAATATATATTTTAAGACATTTCATTTCATTCATTTGTATAACTGTGTTACCAATCAAAATCAATTTTGAAATATATGATATTATATACATACTTTAATTTAATAAAAAAAATCACATAATAAATATCTCTCCGTCCAGTTAGAAAGTATAGAAATATTTTGGGACGTAACATCTCATTTTTTTTTTCCACAAATGCCCTTACTTTACATCACATCGTGACTTTTACACCAAAAGGAAAGGCAAAAATATCATCACATTATAATTAAAATATTATTATTTCTTAAACACCGCGCCAAAGGTAAATGTATATTTTGTATGGAGGGAGGGAGTATAATACAAGATATTTTGTATATTTATAATAAAATGCAAATGAATATTATACTACAATTTACTCTTATTATTATATATGTGTGCATTAATTAACCTAAGTTAATACTCCCTCCGTCCACTTACGAAGTTTACATTTACTTTTGACGCGGTATTTAAAAAATAATAGTATTTTAATTATAGTGAGTAGTTAAAAGTAGTCTAATATCATTTTTGCTCTTTTTTTTTTGTGTAAAAGTAATGATGTAATGTAAAATAAAAGTATATGTGAAAAAAAAAATAGGGTATTTAATGAAATGTTAATTTTGTAATTGGACAATGTGGACCGAGGGCGTATAAAATATCCATAAATTATACATTTATATAGGTTAGCAAGAGTGTAGGATGAAAACGAAAAACACACAATATGATAACTCTGTTCGATTACTATCAAATATGTGAAATGTACATCAATCAATATCACCCTAACCAACTAATCTATATAAGAGGTCTCGGGCTAAGAGTATAAAATTATTATTATTGTTCTATACATGAGCAATCCAATTCAAATGATCAGCATCCTAAGTAAGTGTTGATTGGACTTCACAAACATTTGCTTTTGATTTCTCTATATTTCTGGTCTGCCTATGTTACTATTTAATTTCTTCTCTATCTTCTTTGTTTGTTGAGATTTGAATAAACCAAAATACAAGCGAAACTCTACTAAATCTATCGTCAATTTGTTCAATTTCTTGTTCCAACAAATCTATGAACAAACAAACATCTCTCTTTGTTCACACCTTCTGCCTTCATACCTTCTTATACGAACAAGTAGCAACCTACTGGCAACAAGATTAGCGAGAAATATGAACTGCATAAGCATATTTATAGACGCTTTGTCTCAAAAGATGGTCGAATACAGCTTGTCATTGAACACATATGTACAGGTTGTCATGTCAAGTGGCGAGGCTTTTTCTCGAGTTTTAGTATAAAATTGTTACCGTAAAGTAAGAATTCATCGTCCGATATGTGCTCCTTGCAAACAATGGAAACAGATTCATGGAACACGTTCTAGAACTCGTTGCAGCGCTTTTTTGATTCCGTACTGATCGAGTGATGTTGTCAGTTGTATCTCTTGTACCTGAATCACAAATGTATACTGTGAATGTGAGAGCCAGGAAAAAAGCAGAGGAGAATGTTGGCGTGCGGGGCTTACCTGTCGCCCAGCTCGAGCAAGAAGCGTGTACTGATTGCCTACGGGTAGCGCCTGTAAATTGTGAGAGAACATTGATCGATATTAGCACACAGTATTCTTCTGCAGCAGAAAAAGCCACAAAAGAAAGGAGTGTAGTTTCTTCATACATTTGAAAGCCAAAGCTGCAAATCTTGGGAAACCACTCTTTTCTCGAATCCCTGCCGAGTGATTCTCACATCGTCTATGCTGCATGCATATAATTACGAAGCCAGAAAACAATATTTCAGCCATACATTGTTGTGCGAAGTCAAGATGATCATTTTGAATGTAAAAGGTTTATAAACGCCGTTAATATGGGTTTGCTGGATAATAGTAAGACTAAGACCATTGGGCTCATCTATGTGTGTATATATAGATTCAATCTACTATAGAAGGAAGGGACTTTTGTACATTATAATTCACATGGTATCTGAGCTAGGTTAACAGGTTAGGGTCTAGGATTGGACCAATTACACTTAAAGTTTAATAAAGAGGATAGTGGATATGTTCATGAACCTATCTATAAAGAATCAATGTATCTTACCCATCTTCCTTCAACAGCTCTTCTATAATTATTTCAAGCCCAGTAAGTGGTTCTATTGTAGCTTGTCCGCTTGAATTTATGGCATCAGGATCTGTCAAGTCATCCTGTGAAGCACAAGAATAATAAGATTGCATTCTGTGCTCAACACAGAAAGTATCTTAGCAAAGAACTAATGGTACCAGACCTGAGGAATGACTTTTTCTATAGTTTCTAACAGAGGGTCTTCCTCCAATTGCTTTATGGACAGTGTGATCCTCGACTTTTCCCTGCAAAAATTACCAATACCGCTGAAAATAAATACTGTAGAAGAATAATATTGAAATTCCATACATCACATGACTACAATTTCACTGAATAGGCAATTTAGAAGAAGTAAAATATCTCGTCCCGTGGCTATAAATTTGCCAGCCATATAATGGATTAGTCCTGATAAATATTCTTAGAACAATATTTATGAAGACAGCTACTGCAGATGGATACTGAAGCATCAATGCAAAGAAGTATACTTGGAAGAACATGGTGTATGAAACTAAATCACTCATTTTTTTAATTTAATTGAGTTCTTATAGCACTATATATTTTATTGTTCACAGCTATATGCATGCAATTATGCACATTAGTCAAACAAAAATCACGTCACATTAATGTCCTTGAAAAATCACCTGTCTATGTTAACAATTTTGACTCTGACTTCATCACCCTCAGCTAGGACATCTCTCACATCCTGCACTAAATCCCATGACACTTCTGAAACATGCACTAATCCAGTGAGATGGTACAAACCTGTCATGATTGAATGCTAAGATGAACGTAAGACAGACAGCAGCATTACAAATTGAAATGATCAAAGAAATTAAAGAACACATACCATCTGGGAAACGCAGATGAATAAAGGCACCATAATCCTCTACAGATCCGACCCTTGCTTCAAAAATGTCGCCAACGTTTAGTTGAGGAGAAAACTTCAACCAGTTAGCTTCCTTCTCTGAAAATATCAATTTTCTGCTCTCCTCATCAGCTTGGATAACCTAAGAGAGGTGTGAAGGTTGTTTCATGTAAATAGTTTCAAGATAGCTCTATGAAAATAGAAAGCATAGCATGATTTTCAGTAGCACTAAGTTTAACAAGTGTACATCAATGCTCTGCAATTATTATATTCACTCGACTTCATTCAGCAAGCGACATACAGACAAGTTGTTTCTTTTACAAGTCTTATAAGCCAAAAGATGGATGAACAGTAAAACTTTGATAGAAAAGATGGATGAACAGAGAAGAAACTGGCTGTGCACACTCCCACCCACCAAGGTTTCTTTCATGAATTTGAATTCACTTGTCTCCCTATCCATGTACCAAGCTCACTGGAAATGATACAGTTCTAGGAGCCCTACCCTTTACAGCCTTGATTATTCCTCTATCATAATACTCCATTTGAGGTTTTTTAATAGATGTCATCATCCTTCAAGGAGCTCATTCAACTCAGAGATGACATTAACAAGTTAATTATTGGAACAATCCTCAGAACATGGCAGAAATCCACAGCTTTTAGACTGTCTACTTGGTTGGGTATATGACAAGGGACTCCGCATGCTTTCTTTTCAAATGCTTAGATAAGAGGCACCCCCACCCCCCATCTTTCTTTAGGAAGAATTATTCTCATATAGCTTTTCGGAGTTTCTCTCCAGAAACAATCTTGAATTGGTTCTCTTTAATGTCCATAAGTTTGGTCAGGTATCAATATTCAGCATCCTGATGCTGATCAGATGCATAGTAGTTGTGCTCATGTAGAAAACTGCCCCCAAGATGTAGATTGCAAGGATCAAATTGGATCATCATAAAATCTGTCTGAGTTTAACCTCAGCACTTTATTTTCCAGTTGTGTGATCAATTGTGTCCCATTTTTATATCAAACAAACCTACAACAACATGAACAATTACCCTACCTTATTTTGAATCCAACAACTAAACCTCTCTTTAACCCTTCTATATTGTAGAAACCATTAAGAAAGTTGATATCATTATAACATATAATCAAGTTCAAAAGCACCTATAATATTTTTATGGAAACCTCATGTGAAATAAAAAGTTTAAGAATTAAAAAAATGTGCAAGTGTTCTAAAACTGGACAGACTGAGCCTTCTATAAATGCCCAGAATAGAAGCATACAAAGCATAAGGAGCACAACAGCACGCAATTAATTATAGTATCCAGTGTTGTTGGAACTCTATAAATTGAACATTTGAAACCATATTTAGCACCAAGAAATACAGGAGGGACAAGAACACACCTTCACAGAAATGGTAGAACCAACTAAAGCTCTTGCAGTCTGTTGGATGCTTTTGTTAGGCTCTGCAACATGAATTAAAATTAAAGAAAAAAAATCATTTCACGTTGAACAATAAACATACGACTGATCACAATACAGACAAGAATCCTAAATCTATGACCATATGGTTGAGAAAAAGATTAGCACACAGCATCTCATGGGATTTAATAAAATAAATACTGCCCTAACAAAAAAAAGGGCCTTCATAGGTGTGTTAGTGAGTGAATTGTATACAAATTGCTCTAGAAATGAATGAAAACTTTCTTAAATCCTATTTACTCTGGGAATGCCTAAATAAATAGGATGTGATCTCATGACTAAATACTAACTTAAAAATAGGAAACTACTAACCTAGAGGCAAGGGTATTATTATGAATTTAAGAAAGTTTTCATTTATTTCTAGAGCAATTTGCATACAATTAACTCACCTAAACACCTATGAAGGTCCAGTTTTTGGTTGGACAGAATTTATTTGCTATACGCTAAACTTTTTCTCAACTATATATGGTCATAGGATTTTGACATCAGCAATATTGATATAATAAAAGTCAAGTAGTAGATAAATACTATAAGACTCGGACTATAATCAAACATAAAACTACACTAATCACAATTCCTTCCAAGCATCTTACATAAATTAAATGCTTTCCCTAAAAATAAAGTTGGAGGTTAAATGTTAATCATGGGAAGCTTGTTTCAAATATGGTCCATCCGAGTTCCATTAAGGACTTCTCAAGACACTTTCTAGTTATTCTCTACTCTTCAAATAATTTGTAAAACCAACTATGCCAAACCTTTTCAACATTAGCAAGAAAATTTTCAAAGTGCTTCCTTCCCTTTAAAAACACAAAATTAGAGTCAATATCAAACCACTCAGATTATCACACCTAGATAGAGCTGATGCTTTATGGTAAATCTTGTGTAAAGCTATTATATCCACATTACTTCTCAAAGAAGTAGTGTCATAGCGCTCTCAATTTTCATTGTGCAAAAGTACATGACAACAATTGACATATGAGAATGAAAGCATGATTCCTACTCGGTATAATTTATACAACAAAGTACCATAATAAGAAATCACCATATCAATCACAAATTGTGAAGAGTTACGCAACATTATGGATCTAGCTTTGTTATTAATAGACACAGTATATTCTTGTTACTTATGACCTCAATCTCCATGAAGTACCTCATCATTAAATAAAGGCGTTCATTATTGTAACTCCAACTGTATGCTTCTTGATAGTTACTATATCATAAATATATGTTATCAGAAGAATGGTGCCTAAATGATATTACTTGTAAATGAATAGGCTTACCCTTGGTCATTTCCAAACTTCTCAATTACCAGAAGAAAATTTCCAATAACCAAATGGACTTCGTTTTGGCACATTGGCATTTGCTCTCTTTAACCAACACAACCTATGGGTTGCTCCATTGGTGTATTTTTCTCCAATTTACTTTTCACTTTCAAAACACATAATATAAATTTATGAGTCTACCAAAAAAAATTTAATGTTCCACTGTAGTGTATCCTATTTGTTCATGTCAAACAGCCTCAATAATTTATTTCGTACATATTGCCCTAAGTCCCATATGGAATGTTCCTTAAAAGATGTAACACTCACATTTTTTACAACATTTATATAATATTTTCAGAATGTATATTACTAAAACATTCAATTTTTCAGCATACGTAATGTTATTACATATAAAGATAAGTTGAAACTAAAAGTAACTAAATAAAATTGGTAGCATATTGAGCTTAAGCCTTAGTATTTTTGGCTTCTCAGACTGTGGCTATGCATCAATTGGTTTTCTGGATTACAGCAAACATGCAACTTTAATAGTGTTGTTGTATTCAACAATAGATACAATCTGAGCCTATATGAATCTAGATAGACGTACATGCTAAGAGATTTATTACCTTTACATGAATGAGAGGGGCTCAACTGTGGGAATGGAAGAAAACCAACAAGAGAAGAAAATTTGATCAGCAAGCCACCACCATTGAATCCTTCAACCTTTCCTTCATATATGAGTCCCTTCTCATGGTACTCCCTTGCTGCTTTCCAATCCTCTGACCTCTACTTCTTTGCAGAAAAAAATAAAATAAAATAACAGATAATAAGATTATTAGTGCAACATAAAATCAGCAAATAATCAGTCTAAGTCTTTCTTCCAGGGCAAAGGGAAAAGCTTATGTTTGGAACTTGAGCAGTATCAAATAGTTAAAGGAGTTTTGTCTGTCTTTTAGATGTAGATAGCACTTAGCATGGATGTCTTCTATAACGACATTGAAAACTGTATATGCATGTATAATACTATCTGACAAACTGCAATCGTAAAGAACCATAACAATACCTATTTGCCCTAGATCTATGGAATGTACGTCGGGCTCAGTTTATCATAACTACTTAATCAACATATAATGTCCAGATTGTTGAACGAAAGATCGTTAGGTTGATATTACTAATAAATTACTTTGTTTATTCAGCAAGTAATGTATTCTAGCACTGCAAACAAAAGCAAACAAGAAGATATTTCCCCAACTTCCACTACCATTACACACGATTCTACTTTGACAACAATTTATGTGTGAGCTCTTCTGTTTTAAAAAACAAATTTGAGCAGCTAAACATAAAAAGCGACAATTTGTAGTTTTATAAATCAAATCAAATAAAAAATGAAGTGGTTGGCATACACTAGAAACAAAGAAAAGATTTACCTAAAATTCTAGAATTCAATAGATTATATTCTCACCAAAATGAACTAAGATTTCATTATGCTTGAATCCAATGATGAGGTAAAATCTTATAATTGCAAACTTGTAGATGCCATATATTCATGGACAGTATTTTCCTAAACAACTGCATTGTGGTTAACTATGGTCAACATATGAAAATTGATTTGAAGCAAGATGAGTAACCCATTTCTATGCTTTAGCCATCCGTATAAAATATAAAACAAAAGAAGTTCACATATTTAACATTGGATAGCTAAACATTAACTGAACACACTGGATTCATAAAGTAGCACATATTGTCCTTGATACAATGTTACAACAGGAGATACATACATAAATAAATCTTTGTTATATATCCCATTTATCTGCCTATTACAAGCTGATAATATCCGACACAAATCTGGATTTCACTGCTCAAAGGTGCTTTGACTTAGTAAAATGGTTGTCGGGTAGCTCATCTCTGACATATGATAACTCACTAAGCCTGTAGTAGCTTAAATGGCATACTCATGACTCCCACTAATGTCATAAATGAAATGAAATGAAAAAGGCAAATGCATTATCCATAATAATTTATTTCAGAGCCTACCAGTACTAGTTTACCGAACATCTTCAATTTATCTATTTACTTTTCAATAAATACCCCTATTGCTCCTAAGATCCTATGCCGCTCTTTCTGCTGCAGGCGGAGAGCAATCAATTACATGTCAAACAGTTTCCATATTTTGAGAAATAGATAGCAAAATTAAGTGGTGTCTGGACTGAATTTGTCTTTCCCCTGGGTGTTCAATGTCGGAGAAATACCAATGCAATTGCTTATAGTAATCAAATAAAATAAACAACCCATCACTTGCAATATATTCTGTGCTTATCGAAACACATACTAAATCATTTAACCTGTCAATCACAACCTCCCTGAAATAATCAAAGTGAATAAAAAAACCAACTCAATTCCCAATAACTTTATATTACATGATTGATTAATAGAGTTTCCGGCACCAACATTTGTAAAACCGTATCACACCCTGTGGCGACCTACCAATTACATGAATAAGATCATTTGAGCTTTGTCACCCATTGAATATTCAGTAATAAGTCTAGTTCAAATATTGCCAGAACTCACATCATTAATTCACTTCACAAGTACGAAGGCTCAAAACAGTACACACTTAAATGTATAGACTCGCAAGCAAGCTCACAGATTATTACAGATCTATTTAGTACTTACGAATATCAATATAATGTACATAAGAAAATATACACAGATATATAGACACGCACAGAGAACAAGGACAAATTCAAATAATTACAATAAAATAAAATAAGGACGAAGGAACACACCCGGGATTGCCTAACCCCAATAGAAAGCAAAGACTGGTCGACCCCATCGTCAGTACTGGTGCTGCTGCCACCTGAAACCGAAACTCTCGGGGAGCTCAGGAAAACCGGGTTTCTGGCCGAATGACCCCGGGAAATGCTGCAAGGGAAATTTAAAGTGGCCGGAGGGTTCACGATAAGCCCAGTCTGTGAGGTATTATCGGTGCTGAGGAACTGGGAGAGAAGCGCGAGGCCGCCTGAAAGTGAGGTAGACGCGAAAACGGGCATCTCGACGACTGAGTAGAATACAGCTTGGAAGAAAAGATTACGGCTATGGAGGTCGCCTGAGAGAAGGGTCGCTGCGCTATTCAGTTTATGGTTTTTAGTGTGTGGTGTGGGATGGGCTCGGCGATGTGTGACGATAACAAGGACACGTTGGTTCAAACGGTCGGTTACACTAAGGGTGTGTTTGTTTGGGGGATTTAACAAGATTTCTACTATTCATCCAATTTTTTCCCCCCAAAAACATCAAATCAAACACCTCTTTTTTATTTTTAGTATTATACTAAAAATCAATTTTACATTCAAAACATCACATACAACACGTATTTAGGGTGTGTTTGTCTGGGGATTTGGATTTTGAGTTGGAATTTGAATATTAAAAATTTTGAATTTGAATAATTGTATGATGTGATATAAATACGTGTTGATGTGATGTTTTGAATGTAAAATTGATTTTTAGTATAATACTAAAAATAAAAAAGAGGTGTTTGATTTGATATTTTTTTTAAAAAAAATGGGATGAATAATGGAAATCTAATTCAATTTCCCAAACAAACACACACCCTAAGTGTGTATGCGCAATTGGACTTTAAATACACTGTTCATTTATTTTTTTCTCTAAACAATATCACATTAAACATTTATTTTTCAAATTATATTAAAAATATTACATCAGCACCTATTTAATAAGCAAGAGCATATGCAAAAATAACCTGAAAGACAACATTGCTTGGTGCAGTCCAAGCCACTTTCAAGCGTATTTTGACTTGAAATTTGAACAGTAGAAAATTTTGAATTAAAATAGTTGTACAATGTGATATAAATAGGTGCTTGATTTGATATTTTTGGGGAAAAATATTGATGAATAGTGAAAATTTTATAAAATCTCTCAAACAAATGTTCGTTTGGGGGATTTTTTCCCAAATACATTATTCATTCAATTTTTTTCTCCAAAAATATCAAATCAAACATCTATTTTTCATTTTTTTTCTTATATTATACTACTAAAAATCAATTTTACATTCAAAATATCATGTCAGCAACTATTTATATCACATTATATTATTATTCAAATTCAAAATTTTTACTATTTAAATCTCAATTCAAAATCCAAATTCTCAAACAAACACTTTCATTCTGAGTTGAGATTTGAATAATAAAAAATTTGAATTGAAATAATTGTATGATGTAATATAAATAAGTGTTTGATGTGATGTTTTGATTACATAATTAATTTTTAATATAATATAAAAAATAAAAAATAAAGTATTTGATTGATTTTTTTTTTAATAAAAATGATAGAATAGTAAATTTGAGGGATTTCGTTGAATGAACACACCCAATAGAAAATTTTCAAATTATGATTTTAGTTAGATTATTTCATTTTACAATTTAAAAATAGCTTTTTTTTTATATTCTAAATTTTTAAATTTAAATTTTATTCAAAATAATTAATTTTGATTTTAATTTTATTTGAATATATATTTCTTCTTTATTTATTTATTATACACAAAATTTATAAATAATACTCCTTCAGTCCCACATTTTATGTCATTTTTCTCCTTTGAAAAATGATTACACACTTTAATTTCATTTTAAATTGTTAAATTTATTTTTTTAATTTTAATTAAACTAATTAGTTATCATAATCTTAATTTATAATTATTTAGATTATAAGATAATTATTTTCACTAATACATTCTTAATTATCTATTAATTACACCCCTACTAAAATATCGTGTATGTAGCAGACATCGTACGTGGGACGGAGGGAGTAGTTAATTAGATCGTATAAAAATAATTAAAATAATAAATTTAGTAATTAAATTAAAATTTGAATTAAATAAATGAAAAAAATAAATTTTGAACCCCCTTGTAATAAAATAAAATATATAGATATATATATATATTATACTTCTCCAATTCTATAGCCAGCAAATACAAGTTTTGGAGAAACATCAACAACATTTCCTGAGCAAGTTGGGTTTTTGAGATTTTCGAAAAAGATATTTTTGATTTTTCAACCTCACATTCAAATCCTCTCGTTGGTCTGAGAATCAACGGTGACATCGTCATCGGCAAATGCGTTACCAAAGGCGATTTCAAAATCGTCGATAGAAGCCAGAAGACACAAAAGAAATTGATTCCGACATCTCATTTGGCTTGACGTAAAGAGGATATGCCATTTTAATGGAGTAGATGAAAGTATCAATTATGATGGGTGAGATAATTAAATTATAATATTATATGTTATTTAAAAATTTCAATTGTAGTCGCATTTTATTTAATTATCGTGTAAAAATAACGATAATTTTCTAAAAGAATAGAGAGTCTAGTTACCAAAATTAAAAATTGAACTATTGTAATGGTTAAGCTGCTAAAATATATTTATTACTAAAATATAGAGTATTTATCGTATTGAAGACAAATAAATTTAATTTAATTTTTTTATTTATTATTTAAAATTGATATAAATTAATAATATGAAATCAAAATTATTATACATGGATTGTTCTTTAATAATTTAATTATATTAAAAGCTGTTTATATTTATAAGACAATTATGAATAATATAATTATAATTTTATTTAAATTTATTATTGTGTAATTTTTTTATTATTTATAATTATAACTAAAATAATGGAATTTATTTATATCATATATGACATACAAAGTATTACAAACTATTTATTTATTTTTTAATACATTAAAAAAAAATCCATTTAAAATATCATATTAATACATTATTTATTTATATCAAATTAAATATTTTAATTTATATTTTACTATTATCAAAATATAACCAAATAATAATAATAATATTTAAATATTTTTATATTATTTCATCCGTTTTAATTTAAAATATTTTTTTTACCATTTTCTTATGTTCTACTTATTCATTTCTATTTTAGAAAAAGTAATAATATATTAACATCTAAATATTTTAAAGTACAAGTATATTGTTACATGTATAATTACTTTATATATAAAGTCAAACAATAAAAATGTAAAAAACTCTTACACACTTCAACTAACTAATAAAATACTATTATTTTAATTTACTAAAATATTCCAAATGACTAATTTAATTTGGAACGGAGAGTATAATATAATATATAGTTGGCGGTGCTCACATGATTTTATTTTTTAAAAATCATAAAAAAAAAAAAAAAAAATGATCCTTAAATGTGGGTCCATTCATACCAAATTATATATTTTTTCCGTCATCGTCATCGAAATTTATTTTCATTTGACCTATACGAATTTTTGGAAAAAATGGGTAAAAATAAAAATAAAAGATCCTTTTATAATAACGAAAATAGTATATTTTTTTTATTAAAATTGAAATATATAGAAAAATAGATATATTTTTTTTTACTTAAAAAAAATATAAATATTTTTTATGGCAATAAAAAAATAAAAAAAACATAAATTTGAATGATAAAATAATATATATTAAATTCAACCAATAAATGAAGGAGATAATTACATTAAAAATACTAAATTAAAATAAATTATAAAAATATCAATATACTACAATATTAGATAATAAGATAATTTAATTTAAATATAATTATATAATAAAAAATTATAGAATTTAAAATATAAATATAAAAAATAATATTACAGTGTATTATATGTTCTATATCATTAATAATATTAATATCTTTATTTTTATAACAATTATATAATAATTTAAATATCACATATATTGTTTTTATTAAATATAACAAGTATTTTTTAAAAAAAAAATTGTTTGAATATCTAATTTTTTATATAAAGTTGACAATTATCTAACTAATATAAAAATAATAAATCTACATACTATATTATTATTTTTAAAAAAAAATGTGTTGCACCGTTGGGAACTGTTCGAGGCTTAATCCGACAAGTTCCATGGAGATAAAAATGAGTTTGTCCACTCAATAGCTCGGTGAGTTTCGAGTGGTTTTCCCGTGAGAGCAACCTTGTCGGTGGCCGATTCCGGTGGGTTTCAAGTGGTTTTCCGGTGAGAATAACCTTGTCGGTGACCGATTCCGGTGAGTGTCGAAACTTGGTGTGAATATGCCGACCTCCACCTTAGGAGTGGTTGCCTTGGGCCAATATTGCACCAAGGATCAAGAGAAGGTCGGAGGGGCAGTCGTCGTTCGGTGCTCATCGAGTTCGTCGGAGTATCAATCTGCCACTGTGCCGCCGCCACTGTTCGGAGTGCCATCGACTGTCGGAGGATGTCCGCTGCGTGCCGCTGTCATCTATTGTCGTCATCATCCGTCGATTTGGAGCAGAAAGCTGTTTGTTAGGAGAAATTGATCGCCAGCTGCCGGAGTTATCAATTCGAAGTCGTTCATCGATTTAGAGTCAACCGTGTGGTCGTTTGGGGGATTGGATTTTAAATACACTGTTCATTCCATTTTTTCCTAAAAAAAAATATCAAATCAAATATATATTTTTCATTTTATATATTATACTAAAAATTAATTTTATATTTAAAACATCACAACAACGTCTGTTTATATCACATTATACAACTATTCAAATTCAAAATTTTTACTATTCAAGTTCCAACTCAAAATCTAAATCCCAAACGAACACACCCAAAATTGGTTCTCCGTAATTTCCTCAAGAATGACAAGCAGGGAAATGTTTTGATTTCTTTCCAATTCGATTTCAATTAATTCAAGCCTGTTTGTTTGGGTTTAAATTATCAATTTCGAGAATGTCTTTTTGTCTAATTCTTTATGTTTGTATTCAATTTCGATTTAGTTTTGATTAATTTGAGTTTATTCGAATGAATCGTTTTCGCTATTAATTGATTGTATATTTTACATACGAGGTTTGTTCGATAAATTCAAAAGATTCGAAAATAAATACACAACACACAAAGTAAAATAAGAGTATTATGGGACGTTTCGTATAAATAATAAAATTGGTTGTTATTTATTAAAGTAAAATTAATAAAATTGTGAATGAATAAAATTGTTTATTATATAATATAAGTCTAACGGACAACCAAACAAAGAAATTTGACATAATTATAGCCGATGAAGAGAGTAATATTTTAAAAATATTATGCAATATTTAATTTTAATCAATAGATAATTTTTTAAAA